AGCGGGGGCCGCGTGTCTTCGGGGCCTGCCCAGCCGTGCGCTCGGCTGCGGCTCTGCCGGGGGGAGAGCCAGCAGCCGGGGCAAGTGCTGTCCCCGGCCCCTCGGCCATGCTGGAGGGTCTCCAGCCAGATGGGGTTTTGTAAGCCCTGTGCTTACGTGCCCAGCCCCAGGCGAGCCGCTGTAGGTTTTATCTGTGTTTGCGTCTCACCGAGGAAAGGCGACACGAAGTCGGAGCTGCGGGATTTCGTTTGCTGCGTCCCCAGCGCTGTGTGTCAGGGTTTGTGCTGGCGCCGGGACGAGTGCTTGCCCGGCCAGTGAGCCCGTGCAGGGACGTGACCGGTGCTGGAGACCTCTTCAGCTCTTACGCGAAGGTATAAAGCTCCAAGGGAAAGCTGAAATGCAATGTCGAAGGTCCCCCCGCCCCTCCCCAGTCCAAACACCTCCTGGTGAGAGCGTTCGCACCGAATCTCACGGGGGGAAATAGGGGATTCTGCGAGACTTGGCCTCTGGGTGAGGTTTGGGTGCTGCTTGCTTGCAGGCTGAGAAGGTTAGCACAGAGTCGCGGTTCTGCAGAGGGGGGCTTTTAAATCACTTAGTCCCGTTAATTCTGTCCCCTAAACCTGTCACACGAAGGGTGTCCTCAGCACCCTGCGTCCAGCCTGGCAGTTCCAGCTTGCGTTAAGCACGGATTACGCCAGCCCGTCATCTCTCGTCACTAATGACAGCAACTCCCATCGCTCTCGGTGGCTCCTGTCGGGCAAAAGCTTTGCTGCCCGTAACGCCTGGGAGAAACTTCCAGCCGTGTCGGCAAAGCAAGTCCTAAATCTTTCTTTTTCCGTGATTCTTTCTGAAAATCTCTTTGGCGGTGGTTTGCTGCTGGTGCGCAGACGCCATCCCCTGTCCCGCAGACTGGTGGGATTTTGGACTCCCTTCCCTGTCCTGTTTCTGACCTGCACCGGGATCGCCCCTCTGTGCCCGGAGACGCCCGACTGGGTTGTGAACGTGGGACTTAAACCGACTCCTCTGGTACACGTAGCGCGGGATGGTGGGCAGAGCCTCGACTGCAGTAAAATGTGGGAGCATAAGGGGAAAGGTGCTTGCGGGTGATGGGGGAGCGGGGGGACTCTGCAGCTGTCCCCGTGCTGCCTCGGGGGGCCGAAGGACGGCTCTGGGCTGCGGTGTCGCGATGGGCACGCCGAGGGTTTGTTGTTTAAAGCTTCCGAATCCAGGCTTTTCCTTCTTAAAGTTCTCGAAGAGCAATCCCGGGGGTCTCAGGGGACGGCTTTGCAGCCGGCTCTGCTGCTGCTGTTGGCACTGGTCAGGTCCCAGCAGGAGGTACAGGAGCCGGGTGCCGTGCCGGTGTTACTCGCGGTGAACAGGCGGCGTAGACGCAGTGCAGCCTTGCTCGTGTGGGGCGTAAACCAGCATCTGCGCTGTTTGGGGAGATGAAGTAAATAACTTAACTGTTCTAGGCTGGTACTGCTGCTCCCAAACTTCAGTGGCTGGTTTCTTTGGGTTTTTTGTTTTTTTCTCCCTAGGTCGATCTTTCGCACTTGTCCCCGGAGGAGAGATGGAGGTGAGTCTGTGTTGCGAGGTGAACCGCTGCTTACAGCTTGAGCGAGCTCCTGCTCCCGACCGGAGCTACCAGCAGCGCAGCCCCTATTCACGGCGGGAGAGGGCAGGGTCAGCCTTCCCTGCGCAGCGTTATTTGTGAGGGGGAAGTATGAACTGTCTTAAAAGGCAATACTAATGTTTTTCTTTTAAACTGCTTGCTGGTTATTCCTCCTTTTCCCTCATCCAAACCAATTTCAGTCAGACACTTGTTGAAAGGCACAGTAAGACTGGTCTTCTCTCGGTATTAATTTACAGAGGATGACTTAAGATCAGAGAATTTGGTATATTTGTTGGGTTTGGATTCCCCCCCCCCAACTTGAACTGTCTTCTCAGCTTAAGACCGAGGTGTAAGGATGTTACAGGTCTTAATTCTGCCTTGGTTTTTGGTCAAAACAGCACAAGCTGTGAAGAAACCCCCGGGTGTCTGTAGAGCATCAGTCTGGAAATCACTTGTTCCAGGCTGCAAAAGGGGTTGCCCAGGGCAGGGAGAAGCGATTTGCTGGGGTTTGTGGGTGTT